TTCGTCCCGACCCTAACGCACTTGCGGATGCCTTCCTGGGGGTCGTGGAGCACGCGATCAATGCTACATCCCAGCCCGACCCAGACGATTTCCTGGAGAAGGTAGCCAAGGCGGTAGCAGTGAAGCCGCTGCAGCATTTAGGGGACGTCGCCAGCTTGGCCAACGACATCTCTGACATCGACGGCGCCGGGTTTGAGGCCTATGTCGCCTTCTGGATCGGGTCATCGTGTGATATGCTAGGGGAGGCCGTTCTTGGTCCTGAGGCGTTAAGCCTCTGGAAGGAGCGACTTCCGCCGTTGGTCTGTCTTCGTATAATCCAGAAACCTTGGTGGCTCGACCTGCCAGCTGTTCCCAGGCTGAGCTTGCAATATCGCTTCAACGGTATCGCTGCCAAGAAGGAGCTATTTGCTAACCCCTCAAGCCCATTCCCGGTTGGATGAAAGACTCGGTTCTTTGCTGTCTCGAGCCCATCACCACAAACCTTCTCCACATCTGCGGTGCCACCATCGCCCAGCGAGGCTCCTGCGTGGTCTAACTTCCCTGACGACAAGAGGAGCGATTTGAAGGCTGTCGAAATTGCTACTCATAGCCTGTCCTCTGAGCGCATATCTCAAAGTCGCCGTCGTAGCGCTATCAAAGACGCTGAGAAGCCTTCTCAGAGAAGGCCATCCCGGCTTTCCAAGGTGGAGCTTTCAAGGGGTCGAAAGATACCCGTGGTTTTTCCGGTTTTTGGCGACAAATCCTCGGGCGGGTTCGTCGTCGCGGATGGATGCTCGGGGGCCCTGAGCACTTCTTTTTCCTGGCCGGCTTGCTGTCGGAGGATGTCCTCGAGGATGCGCTTGGTGCAGTGTCCCCCCAAACTGACAAGGAGTTCGCTGAGGCCATTGAGGCTATCCGACTGAAACTGAGCCGAGAGATTGGTGGGTCTATCGAGGTGGAGAAGCTCGTCTCACATCCCCCGTCTCGTGGAGCAGCTGAGGAGGTCTCCCAGTTCATTGCGAGGTTGGATGAATGCCAGGTGCGATGTCGAGTCGCTGGTGCTGCTCTAGCGGATGCTCAACTAATACAGGCATACAGGGTTGGTGTCCATCTGGAGGTCGCCCGCGAGGCAAGCTATGAGTATCCCTCCGTGTGGAAGGACTTCAGACTACGTGCTATAACGAGGGCCATCCGCATGGAAGGATGAGACGGCACAGAATGGTCGTCCACCGTCAGCCGAGGTCTCCACCCGTCGCGAGGTCAAACCAGCCCAGAAGCAGGCCCCGAGCGATGCCCATCCTGGCTCTGGCACCAAGGTAATGGATGGCTAGAAGTCGACGGCTGGCGCTACATGCCGGGATTTCTTGCGTGGACGCTGTTCTCGGGGTGAGAACTGTCGTTGTGCTCATATCGACAGGAATGCATGTCGTCTCTGGGCCGAGACAGGGAAATGTCGCTTTGGAGATCAGTGCCGCTTCCAACATGGCTCCCACGCTCAAAACAAAGGGGCTGGAGGAGCTTCCAATAAGGACAAGGGGCAATTACGTGCAGTATCGGTGGACGTGGCTCCAGGTTATGGCGACGATGTGGCTAAGGAGTCTGACGAGGCACAGGAAGGAGTTATCCAACGACTCTATGCTCTGCCAGAACCAGGCTCTGATTCTGACGAGGTATTCTCTGGCCCAACGGTTACATTGATGTTGTCCGACGGTTCTGCCCCGCTGAGGGGGTTGTTGGACAGCGGAGCGGCTCGGAATTATATCTCTCTGCGCGAGACGTCTGCACGCGGCTGGACGATCGGGCCCACTACCGAGACTGCTAGGTTGGCTGATGGTACCCGGAGGTCGCTCCATGGGAAGGTCGAATTGGAGGCATCGGTCGGAAGCCGTAAGCAGAAGCTCACTTTTTACGTCATAGAGGAGGCGGGGCCCGGATTGTCAGCGCCTCCTTGCATTTTGGGAGTTCGTGCTATGTGTCAGCTGTCCATCTCCTTGGAGTTCTTCGAGCACAGGGGTGCCCGATGCGTGCGGGTGAGGGTCGGCGCTGAGAATAAGCCCACCCAGGTCGGCTCGCCGGGCAAACCTCTCACGGACCGTGACCGCATCATTGACCGTGAGTCACGGTCAATGAGGCGGATGCGCGCGGACGCTGTGGGTCGGTGTCCATCCTGGGTGAGGCCCTGACAGTCCTCTCCAGCAAAGCTCACGACGAAGAGGCCCTCTATCGAGTCGTCTCTGTCGACGCGGTGGAGCAGATTGGGGGAGATGAAGACTTGTTCGAAGTGGCACCAGACTTCCTTCGACCGCGACACGAGCTCACCGACAAGTGGAAAGCGGTGCGGGCCGCGCCAAGTTACTCGGTCCGACTACGCAGGCTTGAGAAAGGCGAGGTTAAGGACTGTGAGGGTCAGATCTATGCTGTAGAAGCCACGTGGGAGAGATGCTCTGATGAGACGCAAGACACCGCAAGGGTCTTCGACTACTCGCTAGGATTGCATAGCCGATTTTCTCACCAGCAGCAGCCTGCTGCCAGCAGGCCATCTTCGAGGGCGAAGTCCAAAAGTTCGTGGATCGCGGATGGTGGTCAGAAGGATGCAGTGCCGCGGATTCGGACCCTACATTGAGCCCCCTAGCGGAGAGTATAGCCTTCCCTGTCGTGCAAGGCCAAAAAATCAGGCCCTGTGTCGACATGAGGAAGACCAATGCCACCTTGCCACGGTCTTCTTACGCAGGCAAATCCTGCTCGGTGATACTAGCTCAGCCTAAGGGTGGCAATAGGCTATTGCCACCCTTGACAAGGGTTGACAAGACGCCTATGCTATTGCCAATAGCATAGGCGTCTAGAGCTGTAGCGGAGTCTAGCGGCCAGTCCCGTCGGCTGGCGATGGTTACGATGGACGCCGAGTCGGCGTTTTATCGAATACGACTGTCTGGTCACGTTGCCCGAGTTCGGTGCCTTGGTAGGAAGTTTGAGGTACGCCGCCTGTTGTTTGGGCACAAGCGGGGCCCGCTATTTTGGAAGAAGCAATGTATGGTCTTTTGTCAGCGGCTGTGACAAAACCCTCGGCTCGGGTGGCGCTTCACTGGGGCCGCAGTGTGCCCTTGTGCTGCTGGGCTTACGTCGACGATATAACGCTCTTGGGTGAGGTCAGC